TGCTCTGGTCCATGGGGTCACAAAGAGTCGGACACAACTTAACAACTAAACAACAACAACAAATGAGGATGACAGTGTTTGTTTATTTGGTTTATCTTTGGCGTGGTTCACAATTTTAATCATATCCTGTAAACAGTGGTTGATCCTGAAGTGTCCGCCAGGTGGCGGTTCTATCTCCAAAAAGCTTAGGAGCCACTGGAGTTTGATTCGTCCCAGAGAATAAAGATGGAAAAGATGAGAGAATTCATTAACATGGGAGAAAGTTAATCTTAGAACTGCAGAGCTGGAAGAGATCTTATGGGTCACTTTTGTCCAGCCCCTGTCAAGGGAGGCACAAGTGGGGAATCAAACTCCCAACCTCTGGCTCCACAGCCAGGGACTGAAACCACTGAACTCACGGCTTGGTTTTGATATTTGAAATAAGACTTACACTTACCGTATTTTTCGCTCCATAAGACACACCTTTATAAGATGCACCAATTTTTAGGAGAAGAAAACAGGAAAATATAATCTGTTTTCTTCGCTCCATAAGACGCACAGACTTTCCACCCCCCTCTTTTGTGGGGAAAAAGTGCGTCTTATGGTGTGAAAAATATGGTATATTATGGAGGCTGCTTGGGGCCGAGAGCTCTCTCCTTTTCCATGGCTTATTCTATAAAGAGCCACAACACTCTTTCTTAATAATGCTGTTACTGATTGCACTTTTCTTCTTTTTATCTCCCGCAGTCTCTCCCCTGTCATCAGGAAGCTCACAGGAGACAAAAAAATGTTTCGGCATCTCTGTCCAAGGAGCACCAAGCGATGTTTCGAGAATGACCCGTAAACATGGTGCTGCCATGCTTTCTCTTACAACAAAAATGCCATAAAGCTAAAAAAGAATGTGGTTTATACAGTGTTTGTTGCATGTGGCTTGCTCCTCCAGGGGATGATATGTGGTGTCTAGATCTGAACGATGCAGATTCCAGTGTTACCTTTGCTCCTCCCTGTTACTTTTTCAGCTAAAGTGCTTTTTTTGCTACCTCAATTAAATCTGTTACCTACAAAACTTCACTTCAGACTCTTAAAGGATATTTCTCATATAAGACTCAGGCTGCTATGCGGGACATCCTCTCAGGATGTTCTACTAGAGTTCCCATAAGCCACCAAGCAGCTGGGGCTTATGGAGGTTGTAGTCCAGTATCTCCAGAGAGCAGCCTGGGGGTGATGTGGGAATCAAACTAAACTAAGAATAAAACTGGCAGAAGCATCCTTCAATGGCAGAATTTATAAAGGCATGGGGGGGGGAGGCAGGAAGTGTCTCTGAGTCGCATCCCGATAACCTGAGAAAAGATCACATTTTTCTGCTCCCAAATTCCTTTTCAAAACCCCAATTTCATTTTCTCCCCCTCCTTTGCAATATTGAAAGCAATGCTTTGGGGTGTGCGTGTGTGTGTGTGTGTGTGTGTGTGTGTGTGCGCGCGCGCGCATGGGAAGCTGTAAGAATATTTCCCAATGTTTGTGTGTTAAGCAAGAAATAACCGCAGGTCGGTGCAATGCTTTTGCAAAGCCTACTGAAGCTTCTACGGCAGGGTGTGATGAAAGAGAGGTAAAAGCTATTTTCCCTTTAACTTTTATGACAAGAGGGAAGGGCGGAATTAATTGGAAGCAAGGCACAATGGGGAATTGAACTCCCAACCTCTGACTTCATAACTAGAGGCCTAAGCCACTGAGCTATCCAGCAATTCTTGTTTAAAATGTCAGAAGGATTACCCTTATGGCCTGTAATTCTCATAATTCCCCCAACCTGCCTGACCAGGGGTATGGACAGATTTTTTTTAAAAAAAGAAAATGTACCAAATATTTTGAAATACAAGGGCATATGTTGAATTTACAACAATCTTTACTACAACTGAAAGTACGTGAAGGGTTGTAATAGCCTTTAATTTGAAAGGTTGCATCCTCCATGCAAAGTTGCCCAGCTGTCGGAACTGGGCATGTTTTGTCTGCCTTGTCTAAGTGAAGTCATGGTCGCCCCATTCCAAAATGTCTCCCTTCTGCTTCTGAGGCAGATGGTGCATCTCATACCATCTCCTGGTGTGGGGAAACCCCTTGGATGCTTGTCCCCTGGTTTCATCTTGTTCTGACTGCAAGCCTATGTCCTTGTTGGAAAGTCTGCCACTTAGTGACTGAAAATTGTACTGCAGTCTTCAAAGATACCTATTTAAACCAATCACTATCAATGGCTGAGCTTAAAAAACCAAAACAAAAAACCTATAGATGCACAACCCTAGAGTTCCCTGTGTCAGATCTCACCATGTTTGGAGTTGTGCTTCAGAAAACACACACACACACCTGTGTGTGTGTCTGTGTCCAGTTTTAATATGAGATGATGATCAGCAAAACTTTAGGATCCATTCAAGTTAAAATACTTGAGATTAACAGCAGAAGCAACAAATGTACATGAAAATTCTTTTATTGTGTTTGCCATTGCAAATTTTTAAAAACTAAATGGCACTGTGTTTATATGAGGCTTCAGTTGTCTACTAGCCCTGCTTCAGTCCTGGAATTTTACAGACGGGGGGACAAAAATATCACATTTTTAATTTCCAACCCCTTCATTTCTTCCAGCATTCTGTCCAGCTTTTTTCATAGACTCTTAACGAGGAAAGAGAATAGCTATGCACTGTCTTTTGATTCATATTGCTAGGAGCACCCTCTTTAAAAAACAAAAAACAAAAAACGTTTGCTGGTCCAAACCTGGAGACTCACTCCATTAAAAAGTCCCAAGAATAGTTGCTACAGACATGATGGCAGAGTTTTGTCTTTTCAGTTATTGCCCCCTTCAGCTGCTCAACACACCTCTTTCACATATTGGGCAGTGATGGTTGTTGTTCCTGCTCATAGCCACCTTGGAAATCATGAAGCAGGAAGCGGAGTTCCCTCCATCAAACAGAGCCACCTCCGACTCGCCCTGCCTCATCAAAAGACACAAAGGAGCAGGGCCTAGGGGGAAGTTGCTGGGAACCATAAAGTCAGCTGAACACACTTTGGTCTGTGTGTCACTGTCAAGTCAAATACAATAGGTTCCCTGTATCCACATCATCAGTATCCACTGTGTCACTTATCCACAGTGTGTGAAAATATTAAAAGAAACCCCCATATATATATACCGTTCCCCCAAATATAAGACCTTGTTAAGGGAAACCCTGCCCTCCACCCTTGAACCATAAAGTCAGCTGAACACACTTTGGTCTGTGTGTCACTGTCAAGTCAAATACAATAGGTTCCCTGTATCCACATCATCAGTATCCACTGTGTCACTTATCCACAGTGTGTGAAAATATTAAAAGAAACCCCCATATATATATACCGTTCCCCCAAATATAAGACCTTGTTAAGGGAAACCCTGCCCTCCACCCTTGTGCAGCAACCTAGGGCCTGGGGGGAAATTGCTGGGAACCATAAAGTTAGCTGAACACGCTTTGGTCTGTGTGTCACAGTCAAGTCAAATACAATAGGATCCCTGTATCCACAGGATCAGTATCCACTGTGTCACTTATCCACACTGTGTGAAAATATTAAAAGAAACCCCCCATATATATATAATATACCATTCCCCCAAATATAAGCCCTTGTTAAGTGAAACCCCGCCCTCCACCTTTGTGCAGCAACCAGAAGAAGATGCCACGGTTGTATTTGAATAAATGTAGATGATTGTACATTGTATCTGAATAAATATATATTTGAATAAATGTAGATGATTGTGTATATATATATATATAAAGCAGCCCCTCAAAAGAAGCTCTAATGGCTTTTTTGGAACAAAAGTTAATATACGACCCTGTCTTAGTTTTGGGGAAACATGGTATTTGAAATGAAATAAAAATGGCCACTAGAGGGAGCCAGAGACTGTGCTATGCATCGCGTTTGCTATAATCCACATTTTTCAGTATCCGCGGGTGGGGGGGCTTGAAACCAATCCACTGCTGGTGCTGGGGCTCTACTGTAGAGTGGGGAAATATAGGTACAAATGTCCTGACCAGCCAGAGCATGAGTAGAGAGCATCATTTGAGTGGACACTCACAAAATCTTTCCCCATCTGTCTTTGCTAGAGCGATGGAAATCCTCTCGTCTCTTTTCTATGCTTCGGCTTTCCTCCTACTGCGGTGCCTTTAAAGATAGCCTATTGTGGCTGTATTTTAGCAGGTGAGAGGTAACATTTCTAAGCTGCCTCCCTTTTCTATCCCCAAAGGAAAAGGGGAAACTACATGATTTCAGCACATCACTTTCTCGAAAGCTGGCGGCGACCGCTTAAAAAGTGGTAAGTCCGCATTCCGCTTTTCTGAGCCCAGGAAAACCACCAGACTGGTGTGCATTTCCTGAATCCAGAGCCCGAGAATATTAATTCCTCCCCCCCCCCCAAGCTTGGTGTTAAATCAGTGACAAGTGGGGTGGGGTCACTTTGCTCAATGGCTCCTGAAAGTTGTCTCACTTCACGGAAGGATTTGATGATTAGCTAACTGGTTAATGAACGCAGGAGGAAAGTGTTCCCGCCGGTGGAGTCGGTCAGCAAAACTGAAATGCATGGGGGGGGGGTCAAACGGGATCAACAGACCCAAACTGCAACAAAATCTTGGAGCGTGAGAAGTGTCGTGTTCAGGATAGCAGCCAGTCGGCCGGCCACTGGATTCTGTTCTCTTTCTCCAGGCCTTCCCTTTTTCTCAAAAAAATTGGGGGGGGGCGTATTTCTGCCGACGTGAGGGCTGCCATGCGCTGAATGACACATCCCGGCTCCCGTGTGCCTGGATGAGGCCATTTCATTACATAGGAATGTGAGATCACAGCCAGGAATTTGAGATCTCTGTGGGAGTGCAGCCCTAGGACAAGAGACAGGGCTACTCAGCCTCCTTATGCAGATAGGTGGAATTTTTCCCCCTTTCTCTCTCCTAAAGTTTGTTGTTACTTTTTCACACACACAAAAAGAAAGCTTTTGCCAATCTTGAGATTGTTTCGGAAGCTCGAGGCAGGAAGCAAAAGTGTCATTTTAATTGCAGAAAGAATTGCAGCAATACCCCCTGCCCTCTGCCTTGGAAACAAAAGGAAATGGGCCATGATTCACGAGATACCCAATTACAGTCATAAGACAGGGATCCCTGTCTGACCTTTACCCAGTTATACCACGTACCAATGGTATGAAAGTTTAATCTGATTTAGGATAGCCGTGTTGATCTCTCTGTGTGTTAGCTCTTTGGCTTTAACCTCCGTGACCACAATGACCTATAACACACTTGGACATGACTGAGTCTTATATAATGACAATAATAATAACCATGTGACGTCAAGCCAATTCTGAGCTATGAGGATCCCTTTCCAGAGTTTTCCAGGTAGGGAATACTCACTGGCAGTTTACATTCCTTTCTTCTGGGATCACCTTGGGACTGAGAAGCTCGCCCAAGGCCACCCTGGATGGCTCTTCTCCATGGAAATCCACAATGGGAAATCAAACTCCCAACATCTGGCTCCGCAGCCAGATGCCTAAACCAGGGAGCTAAGGTCTCTTAGCTGCAGAGCCAGAGGTTGGGAGTTCAATTCCCCGCTGTGCCTACAATGAGAAGAGCCAGCCTGGGTAACCTTGGGCAAGCTGCACACAGTTCCAGGGCTCCCCCTAGAGGAAGAGAATGGGAAACCACTTCTGAATATTGTCTACTTGGAAAAACCTGAGAAGGGTCACCGAAAGTCAGAACTGACATGAAGGCACACAATAAACATATATGAATCTCATCCACTATGTCCAAAAATAAGAGATTTTTTTGGAATTGTAGCCCAAAGCACCTGATATCTACTCCCGTTCTAAAAGCGGTGGTGTGGATGCAGCCCTGCTTTACAAAGAAGCTGTTTGGGTTCTCCTTGGTCAACAGCTTGTTAGAGTCGCTCTGGATTCGATCCAGGTTTTCTGGACAACGTGATTTTGGCCAAGTCGAACACAGGGCACAGCTTTCAGAGACGGCCTTCCTTGAGGGTTGGAACTTTCTGCTCATCTCACCAGGAAATTTTTATACCTCCTATTATAGGTAGCAGAAAAGGTTGGGGTGTTTTTTTTCCCTTCCAGTCGTTAACACAGACTTTATTTGCAAGTCTGATTTCTCAAGGATCTTCCGAAATTACTGTCCATCTCTGGAACACTGCTGCGATTGCAGACGCCTTACCCCAATTTGCCCTGATTCAGTGCTCCTTCCAGATGTCTTCAGTAATAATGTCATACCTGGAGGGCATCAGGAACAGAGAAAACAGTCCATTCTGTATGTTCTGACCCTAACATTTATTTTTCTCCCAATGACTGGGAATTTCCCAGTAAACACAAAACCCAGAATTATAACAACACACCTATCTTATCTCCCCAGTGCTCTGCAATCTTCTCTAAAGGTATACTCTGATCAGTCAAGATAAGCACCATATATGATAACAAAAGCCAGAGAAATTAAGTTGTGTGGGGTTGTGTTTTTTTTTTTTTTAATGGAATGCAGCTTTTCCAGATAGAGATAAATCCGTTTAAGCATACCATGTGTCATTCAGAGGCACAATAAACTGGGCTGGGTGTCTCTACACCACCACTTTTGAACCGCTTGTAAAGATCTCCGTCTGTGGCTCATCCGAGGAAAAAGATTAGGGAAGCCAAACCTGGCACCTTGGACTACAACTCCCATTCTCCCCAGGCTGCACGGGCCACCCTGGGTCCACTGCTTCTCCGCCATATCTCAGAACGGCTCTCCAGGAAGAAGAAGAAGAAAAAAAATAGATGATGAGGACCATTGCAGGTTGTAGTTGAGAACATATTCACAAGGAACAACATAGAGCCTTTTTCTGCATGATAAATGTATGTATCAGCATCAAAGGTGTACGGGTGAGGGCTGGCCCTCTAGTTCACATGAACGGTCCATTTTGTGAACCGAAGAAAAGAGACAGTTTTGTCTTGTCTGCAACAAATTCCATCAATTCCCTTGAGAGACAGTTGCAGCAGCTCCGGTTAAGCCTTGAACTTAACCATGGTTTGGATGCTGTTCTCACAAATAATAATTTCATTCACAGAAGACAAGGCCATGCAGAAACATAGGAGACGGAGTATTGGCATTCCAGGATAATAGAATGAGTCCTTTCTTCTGGAGCAGGAGGAGCTGATGGGTCGGGGAGAGACGTCACCTTCTGACACAGAGCATCACCTCTTAATCTCCGAGTAAATTGATTCTGTCCTGCGCAGCAGTTCCTAAAAATAATATGACCAAGGAATCCCATTATAACCAGCAGTGTGGTGGAACTGGGGCTCCCAAAGATACAGCATTTAGAATATTCAAGCAGGAGGGATGATCAGACAAAGAGAGAAAGAGAAGGGAAAAGAGAGAGAGGGGGAGACAGAGAAAGAGTCAAGTATGTCCTCGGTTAAAGTAAACCCCTAATAACTTAATAAGGAACTATCTGGAGCAAGAACTTACCATATAATTTGGGTCCAGGTTCGCGCCAGGACCTGGCAGAGTCTGTGAAGACACAATACATAATTAGATGATTCAGTGAGACTAGAAAAAATGGCAAGTAGAAAGAAGGAGACTCCTGACCCCTTGAACAAGTTTCGTTTAGCATAAAGCTTTCGTGCTCTACAGTCTGCTTCTTCAGATGCAACATGGAAGGTCAGTGTCCATTTCAATCTGTTTCTCATGGAGGTTTTCTTGAGAGCATGCCAAAGTTACTTGTTTACACTACACCTTCCAGAGCATTAGAGAGATGAGGGGGAAGGTAAAGCTACAAAACTCTGATTTTGTTCCTTTGCCCTACAAGAGGGAGAAATAATGGGAGGTGTTCTACAAAGATCCTTTTAAATGCTGTAGACTGGTTTGCCAAGCAGTCACCTAGTGTTATCTAGTTTGGTTAGATCACCAAAAAAACCAGGGTTACACTGGGTTAGACCACCAGGGGACACCAAGGTCAGGCTGGGTTAGACCATCAGGGAACACCAAGATCAGGCTGGGTTAGACCATCAGGGAACACCAAGATCAGGCTGGGTTAGACCATCAGGGAACACCAAGATCAGGCTGGGTTAGACCATCAGGGAACACCAAGATCAGGCTGGGTTAGACCATCAGGGAACACCAAGATCAGGCTGGGTTAGACCATCAGGGAACACCAAGATCAGGCTGGGTTAGACCATCAGGGAACACCAAGATCAGGCTGGGTTAGACCATCAGGGAACACCAAGATCAGGCTGGGTTAGACCATCAGGGAACACCAAGATCAGGCTGGGTTAGACCATCAGGGAACACCAAGATCAGGCTGGGTTAGACCATCAGGGAACACCAAGATCAGGCTGGGTTAGACCATCAGGGAACACCAAGATCAGGCTGGGTTAGACCATCAGGGAACACCAAGATCAGGCTGGGTTAAACCACCAGAGAACATCAAGATCAGGCTGGGTTAGACCATCAGGGAACACCCGAGTCAGGCTAGGTTAGACCACTAGGGAACACCAGAGTCAGGCTGGGTTAGACCATCAGGGAACACCCGAGTCAGGCTAGGTTAGACCACTAGGGAACACCAGAGTCAGGCTGGGTTAGACCATCAGGGAACACCCGAGTCAGGCTAGGTTAGACCACTAGGGAACACCAGAGTCAGGCTGGGTTAGACCATCAGGGAACACCCGAGTCAGGCTAGGTTAGACCACTAGGGAACACCAGAGTCAGGCTGGGTTAGACCATCAGGGAACACCAAGATCAGGGTGGGTTAGACCACCAGGGAACACCAGAGTCAGGTTGAGTTAGACCATCAGGGAACACCCGAGTCAGGCTAGGTTAGACCACTAGGGAACACCAGAGTCAGGCTGGGTTAGACCACCAGGGAACACCAAAGTCAGGCTGGGTTAGACCATCAGGGAACACCCGAGTCAGGCTAGGTTAGACCATCAGGGAACACCCAAGTCAGGCTAGGTTAGACCACTAGGGGACACGAGAGTCAGGCTGGGTTAGACCACCAGGGAACACCAAGATCAGGCTGGGTTAGACCATCAGGGAACACCAAGATCAGGCTGGGTTAGACCATCAGGGAACACCAAGATCAGGCTGGGTTAGACCATCAGGGAACACCAAGATCAGGCTGGGTTAGACCATCAGGGAACACCAAGATCAGGCTGGGTTAGACCATCAGGGAACACCAAGATCAGGCTAGGAAAGGATCCTGTCCGAAGCCCTGCAAGCCATTGCAGGTCACAGTTAACAAGGCTGACTTAGATGGATCAAAATGGAGTGGGATCAAAATGGAGCAAGGTCACCAGGACAACAGACGGGGTTATCTTTCAAATATTTCCCTCTAATAACTAATAATCATGTACTTTCTGCTGTCATAATCTTATCTATCACGTTTAGCAGATGGAGCTTCACGGATTGGAGCACCCCTCGCTTTCTCGGATGTATTGGCACCTGACGGCCAATGATATACAATTAGACACCTCTGCACACTCTGTAAATTATGTCCTCTTACAACCCTTTCTAAAGGGCTGTCTCCCTTGGTAGCTAGGACGCAGGAGACCCAGATTCAAATTTCCCACTTGGCCATGGAAAAATGCACTGGCACGAGTAAAACCACTCCTTAAATATCTCACATACCTAGGATGGCCTATTAAGGTCAACCATAATGTGACTTGATGGCCCCGATGACAACATTCTACCTCTAGGATGGCCTATTAATGTCAACCATAATGTGACCTGATGGCCCCGATGACAACATTCTACCTCTGAAGAGAAATCACACTGGGAAGACTTTGTTCTCTACCAAGAAACATTCCATAAACCTTAATTTTGTGTCTCTTCCTCTCCTTCCCTTGCAGGGTGCCCCTGCTCCCCTGAACAGTGAAATAAAGGGGTCCCCGTTTCACCCATCACTACTCAGGGAAAGGCACAACGGGGTTTGCTGACTGAGGGGTGAAGTTCATGTCTTGTCTTTCCACCCACCTTGATCCACTAAAAAACCCCTTTTGCCCCATTCACACAACCAGACTCAAGGTGAGATTGAGTAACCAGTGTTTGAGCGGTCAGCTCATAAGACTCACAGGGAGAGGCCCCAATATGGGAGGTGGTTCCTTCCCTCCAGTCTGTGGTGATTCTACAGGTGAATCCATCACCTCGTAGATAGGTTCCTTATCACCTGGAAAACAGACATTAGAACAAAACAATGGGGTTTCATCAGTCATATACAGTGTGCAGTGTTTGCTGTGAACAAGTATAGATTATACCTGTCACCGAGATACAGCTTAATTTGGAGAAGTTGACAAACCTGTTGGAGCTACGCCCCTTTCTCAGGCAAATTGTAGAGAACAGCTTTTTATGGGAACCAATTAGACAGCCAAAAGTTTCTCCGTATAAGACCTACTGGACAATAGTTGAAAAAAAGAAAGGTTGCCTCATTTTTCCCCTATGCACCTGACTAATAATCCTGCACAAAGAAACAATTGACTGAGGTGCTGTCTGAGGTCCAGCAACACATTACAGATAGCATGTTATTAGAACGGGAAATGGCTTAACTGCTTAAAAACATCTGATTGCCTTATGTTGTCGAGTTCTCATATTATTGGCTTGCTCAAGCACAAAGGATCAGTCCTGTCAAGATAACATGGATGTGTGTGGACCAAAGGACACAAACTTTGAATGGGATGTGAGTGCTCACCATGTTTGGGTGCTAGCGTTTTTTTCCCTCTTGGATCCAGTTTTCCTGTCACCCTAAAAAGAAATCAGAAACGGTGAGGAACAGTCTATGAAGCCTGTCTTTAAGCTTATATTGATGTGCATTTCGCCCTGTCATCTAGCTAGCTAACAAAGAAAGAATCCTTTCCTCTGGCTGCACTGGGGACAGAACTCTGCCGACCAACAGAAAATCTACAAAATGACAATATTTTCCCCAAATGTTACCGGTTTGTCCCAATTTTGAAATGGGAATCTGACACCCCAAATTCCAGAACTGTTCACAAGAAACGAAATGTGCCAGCAGGAGAGAGAGGGTTGCGAGGTGCCATTTTCACATGCATCAGCCTAAATGCAAAAGTGTACACTGTTGTGATAGCACACATTTGCGTGCTTTAGTTGTATACAAGAATGCTATTCCTATTCCAGAGACTGAAAACTTGCATTGACAACAGCCTGAGCAGGAGGGATCTCAGAATATTCCAGGAAACATAGGGAGAATATTAATTTTAAGAAAGATGAGAATTATTATTATTTGTTCAAAAGTGGCATCCTTGCCCCAGGGAATTGTGGGAACTACGTTCCCTGCCTGAGCACTCCTCTCATTAAAAAAATTATAGCTCCCAGAAAGATTTGGGGAGACGACAGTTTGTGTCTTGTAGCGTTAATAAATTGTCAAATAATTTGTTTTGAATCATGTGTCTCTCCCCCACCACCCCACCACCCCCCAAGGAAATCTCTTGTTCTGATTACCCTGGGCCAGGCTCTGTTTTGTATAAGACAAACCGGTAGACCAGGATAGCACCAAGGGCCCCGGCTAGCAAGATGCCCACCACGACTCCGGCCACGATCCACCCCAGCATCAAAGGGGCGCGTGGCTGCTCCTTGACGGACGGCATCTGCGTGGTGGGCGTCGTTGGCCGTGGAGTGGTTGCCGAGCCTGTAGAAGAGAAACGAGGGGGGTGAGTCTGAACGTCCAAAACCAGGGTGTTTCCTCACAACCAGTTCACCCCTGTCTGTTGCTTTGGGCTGTGATTAAACAACGACGGCTTTTGTCCTTTTATCCTCACAACAACCTTGAGAGGTAGGGTTAGGGGGAAGAACTTTCTGGAGCCTCAACTTCCCAAGACTTCTTACTGTTGGAGTTATTACAATCTCACATGCTGCCTTTAGTAGGTGTGGCTGGGAGGGACCCTTTCTGGGCGGGGCTGACTGTCAATCACCAACAGCACTAACCAATAGCTGCCTCTGAATTAAAAGAGAGCCACGCCTCTCTGCTCTGAGCCTCTCTCTCTCTCTCTCTTTTGTCTATTGCAATCAGTCCATCCGTTAAAGCCTTTTGCTCAAAGCAGTCTGCCATATTTGTTAGCTCGCTGTTGTCTGTTCATTGAAAATAAACCAATGAACTAATTAACTGATTAGTTTAAGGATATAAAAAAGATTGAAGGATTGGATGATTCAAATGAGATCGGAAGGATCCGATTATAGTTAACCTTCGAACTAATAAACTCTCATGGTATAATTATATCCAATTAAATAGCTGGACGAATGAATAGTTGAAGACTAATGGCAAATGTAGAGAATGTACTATGAACAATTTCTATCATCCCATGAAGACATGCTGAAAGACGCTTTGAGGAAGGGAGTAGTAAGTAGAATTTATAACCTAATTTTTGAACAAGAGGAGAGAAAAAAAGACTGAAATAGAAGGTTTGAAGGGTTTTTTTGTTTTGTTTTGTTTTTAAAAGCAAAGTTGCTCTCTATGCATTAAATAGAAGGAAATGGCCACTGCAGGCCACCACACAAAGAATTTTCCTTTTTTTATTTATTTGTTTGTTTTTGTCTACTGCTCTGAAAATCCCCTAGTCTGTTTGGCTGGTGGCTTCTGGGCATTCCAAATATGAGAATTGTCTTCCTCTGGCTGCTTGTAGCTTAGCTGGAACGTCATAAAAGGGAAGCAGCCATTTCCGGTTTAACGTATACTGTGGTTTGATTACTAGAGATGGGGAGAAAGGCGGTTTCGGGAAATGTTCAGCTCTAGTTGCAAAAATAGTGTGACATTGTTGGGGTGGTGGGCACCTTGACTGTAATATATTGGGTGAGGAGATGGGTTGCATGTGCTAACAGACCTCAGGTGGCAAGAATGCCTGGCATCGTCCCTGGTCGATCTGTAGCACATAAGAAACTGAAACAGCTTACCAGATGACATTAATGAAATTAAATTTGTGAGGCTTTGTTGTTGTTTAGTCATTAAGTCGAAATTTGTGAGGCTTTGTTGTTGTTTAGTGTTAAGTCATGCCCGACTCTTTGTGACCCCACGGACCAGAGCACGCCAGGCCCTCCTGTCTTCCACCGCCTCCCGGAGTTTGGTCAAATTCAGTGATATGAAAATAATATATCCCATACATTTCAACCTATTTGTAGATTCCATCAGCATGTGTTTTGTTTTGCAATGTGCCATTGAGTCATCTTTGATTTATGGACATCCTATGAAATGACCTCCAAACAGGCCTTCTGAGGTCTTGCAAACTCCAGGCGGTGGCTTCCTGTAGTGAGCCAGTCCTTCTCATGTGAAGGCTTCCTCTTTTTCTATCCTTTCCCACTTTTCCTAGCGTTCGTCTACCTGTTTCAGTGTGTTTTGCCTTCTCTTGATGGGTCCTAAATATGACAGCCTCAATTTAGTCATTTTCGCTTCTTCCGAGAATTCAGGTTTGATATGATCTAGAAACCACTGATTTGTCTTTCCCACAGCACACCTAAAGTTCTCCTCCATCACTAGTCTGAGTGAATAAATCTGTATACTAACCTATGGCGTAACTTCTTTTTTCCCCTACCACCGCCTAAGAAAGGATGTTCTCTGACAAGGGCCGGCTCTGTCATTAGACAAAGTGAGGCAGCTTCCTCAATCTGCAACTTCTGGATGTTACGAAAGGGCAGAAAATGGTTATACGCTTTCTTTTGAGTGCATTTTTATTACCAAGGTTGGGATTTCCTGCTCTCAGAGCCCAAATCCCTTGACAGGCTTTGAAAACGTTGCCCTTTGACTCGGCTGGATGCGAGACACCGTTCTCCTCTTTGCCTCGGGCTGCAAACGTTCTTGGGACTGCCCAGTGTGTGAGAGGAAAGTGAGACCAGGGGGAGCACTTCATCTAAAGAGATGCTTCCAACTTGCTGTTTTTCTTAGTGTTTCAGTTAAAAGCCATTTGTGGTGTTCTAAAAAGCACTGTCCAATCAATATGTGATGGTCAAAATCCTTTTAACAGCAAACTTCCCCTTACATGAAGAAATCTCCAGAAACATCATCCATGTTGCACGAGGCTAAATGAATGCTTAGATCTGTAGTCCACGACATCCAGAGGACACCGGGCTTAAGCAAGTTGACTTAACATCAATTTGACTTTTTGAGTCCTGGAGGCCATCTTCCAAGGTCACATGAATGCTGAGATCTGTAGTCCACTACATCCAGAGGACACCGGGATGAGGCAATTGACTTAACATCAATGTGACTTTTTGAGTCCTGGAGGCCATCTTCCCTTGGAGTCCAAAGTATTTCCCCGGTATGTTGACTCTACACCCTAAAAGTATAGCTGTTTGATACAGCTTTAGGTCCCTCGGTTTTGCTCTGTGGAATGTGGGATGTGTAGTTTGGAAGGAAGGCTGGAAACTCCGAGCGCCTTCCGCTGAAGTATGGCAGAAAAATGCTGTGCCCCTAAGCCAAAACCTCAGGGTTTCGTAGAACGGAGTTTCAAGATGCAAAGTGGAATCAAACCGATATCATTGTGTAAGGTAAACATGCTTAGAGAGCGTAATGATTGCAACCTACAGGTATGCTTTGGAGTGCAGTTGGATACTGGTTGAGGCGTCTGGCAGCTAAGCCAGAGGTTGGGAGTTTGATTCACCGCTGTGTCCCCTTGAGAGGGGCTGGACTTGATGACCTCACAGGGTCCCTTCCAGCTCTGCAGGTCTAAGATTGTAAGAAGCTGGGATCAGAAGCCTAAGAGGTGGAAAACACTAACCTGCTACTTGAAGCTCGAGGGCCCCCCTGAGAATCCCTTTCGGTCGGAGCAGGATTAAGACGATGTATTGTTTGGCATCCCTGGGCTGGACCCCGGTGATGAGAAGGGAGCCATTGGGGAAGCCAAATTCCCGCTGGGTGTTCTGGTTCCCATTGCGTTGCGGGCGGCTGTTCCCTGGGAAGTAGCTGAAGAGCCTGGAGGCCCCATCGGTCGTCGGCCCTCGGAACCAGCTGATCTCCCGGATGGTGCCCGTCACGTTTTCTGCCGAAAGGGTGACGTTCTGGCCCTCCATTGGGATTTCGGGAATGGAGACGACGGAAAGCCTGCCCATGGTCCCTGCGGCGGGTGGGATCCATAGGCAAAGCAGCACCACTGGAGGACAGAATCGAGAGTGAAGGTCAAGAACGAGAGAGCCGAGCTTTTGACTTTCTATGTCCAGCTTGAAAATCTGTCTCTCCCTGCGTGTTTACCTCTACAAGCCTCAAGCAGTTTCAAGCCTCATTTAACTATTAAAGGGTTTCGGCTAAGAAACAGAAAAACGGCTGGCTTCCCTAGCTGGTTCTCTTCTAACTACTTCATTCCTTTTATTTTTCTCCCCATACAAAAACCCAAGGTTGGCTCTAAAGTTGCCAACTTTTCAACCAGCCCCCGCTGCTGTGCCTAAACATCGATGTCGGCTTCAACCACCGACCTCAACCAACGGTCGTGTTGAATCCCCGAGGGTGTAAAGAGCTTGACCTCTTGTTTCTGTAGATCAAGAGGTCGTCTGAAGCAGAAGAGCAGGCCAGGCCGGGTATTCTGTGCTTATCTGGCAATCCTGTCTTCCTCCCAGGTCGGAATCACTCCCTTGTGCCCATACACTCTCTGCACTCCAAATAAACGGAAAGAAGTTGCCAACACCCTTTTGCTGGCCCTGTCCTTGTGCAGTTCGACAACAGAAATTGAGCCAATAGATTTTTTTCCCCCCTTAGCATGTCGTCTCCACATCAGGACAGGAGGCAACGTAGGGGGGTGAAGGTTCACGAACCCACTGGTTAAACTGCAGCACTGCAGTTAAGCCTCTGTTCACAAACTGCGTTCCATCCAGCTGGTTCAAGGTTGACTCAGCCTTCCATCCTTCCAAGGTCAGTAAAATGAGTATCCAGCTCACTAAGGGGGGGGGGATCAAGCTTTACTTACCTAATTATGCTGTAAACCGCCCAGAGGTTGCTCTGGCGCAATGGGGGCGATGTGGGAGTCGAAACAACAACAATAACAACGCCAACTCAGGTTGACAGCTTTTGGGTATGGGCGGCTGTCCTAGTTTTGATCAGTGACAGCAATAGGCTATCCTATCCTATACCACCCAACGAAGAAGCTTTATCTGTTGCCTTCTGCATGTTGAAGGCAGAAAAGCCAGCCAAGCTGCTGGCCTTATAGTCCATCTGCAACCCTACTTTTTTTTTAAAAAAAAAGACAATAAAGTTCGGCAAACTTAAAATGGACTTCCCTTTCCCCCCCCATGGTTTCCTTTACAGGTCTACAACTTACCTGCAAAGAGAAAACTCTTCCAAAAGAGATCCGGGAGTGTGGGATCCTTCATGATTCTCCCCAGGAGCAGATTCAGATCCGTCTTTGGTAGAAAACAGACTTCCCGAGCAACATCAGACCAGAAGGCTAAAACCAGTGCAGTCCAGCCAGCCAGACGCCTGGGCTTCTTCCTTCTTCCATCCTACCTGAAGAATTTCTTTGCTGTTCCCCCCCCCCTCAGGGGGTCGGTTCTGATCCTGGAACGATGCCAGACGGTTACGCCTTTTCTTGCTGGGTGAGCCGGAGGGGGGGACGGGAGGAGGGCGGACAGAGTCGAGCGCTCTATGGCTTACTCAAGGCTGCCGTCAAAACCACCAAAGCATGACTTAATTGTTAGCTAGGAATGTCCTGGAATAGTTAAGAAGTTGGTTTCCCAGATCCAGAGCCCAGAAGAGTTCTGGCTCAGTGCCCTAGCCGGGCATGGGGGCAAAGATCCGGGGAATCTCATCCTGCAGGAGTGGTATCAGAGCCCTCAACGCTCCTCACCCTTCCCACTCCCCACCCCCAAGACCCAAACCTGGGTAACCCCATGTGCCATGACTAGAGGGGGTGTGAAGTTTAAGGATGCTCCAAAATGCTGATATTTGGAGGGGTTGTGAACCTGAAGAGCCTTCCTCTACCCATAAGGTCATACAGTGGTGCCTCGCTAGACAGTTACCCCGCATGACAGTTTTTTCGCTAGACATTGACTTTTTGCGACCGCTATAGCGATTCACAAAACAGTGATTCCTATGGGGGAATTTCACTGGACAATGTTTGGTCCCTGCTTCGCAAACCGATTTTTGCTAGACAACGATTTTGACAGCTCCCTCCGCGCTCGCAAAACAGGTGTTTTCGGGACCTAAGCTTCGCAAGACAGTGATTTAAACAGCTGATCGGCAGTTTGCAAAGCGGCTTTCCTATGGCCGATCTTCACTAGACAACAACGATTCTTCCCCATTGGAACACATTAAACAGATTTCAATGCATTCCAATGGGGAAATGCTTTTCGCTAGACAATGATTTCGCTAAACAGCAATTTCAGTGGAACGGATTATCATCGTCTAGCGAGGCACCACTGTACTTCCTACCCATCCCCAAAGAGGCCTCAGAACATCTGGCTTCGAAGCCCCATCAGGCTTACCTTTGAGCAATGTAATATGTAGGAATAACCTGTTAAGAACAAGCTTATAGGCTCTGAGCTACTCATTAGTATAACCATTGTACACTATTGCCCCCCCATCCCAGTACAGAAAACAGGATACTGAATTTCCCTCACCTCTGGCAGAGGATGTGGGTCTACACAGCAGGCTCTTCTTAAGCAGGTATCTTTAGGGCTTCCTCTCCTTTCTGGCTTCCTCTCTCTGGCTGTTTTCTCTCCTACACAGTGCCAGGCCCAGCTGATCTGACAGGCTGGATGGCAGGATGAGGCACACAGAGAGAGAGGGAGAGACTGAGAGAGAGAGAGAGAGAGAGAGAGAGAGAGAGAGGAATAGGTCGAGCTGATGCATTCATTTGAGTTCAGGAAGAAGGAGGGCCTGGGAAGAAATTTAGGATACATGACAGGCAGGATCTCCCAAAGTCACAGCCCAGAAGCTGCACCAGTTGGATTTCTGCCCGTGACCTCAAAAAAAGGGTGTGAAAGCTTAGCTGTCAAAGGATGGCTGTTCTCAGTTAAGCCCGGGAAGAGAATCCTGCTCGGGATGCCAGTGTTACAGAGGAAGGGCTAAGAAGATAATTACACAGGATGATGACACAAAGAGCAGTTTGGTTGCTGTGACTCTGCATGTAGTCTTTTTCCTCTCTGCTCTGTGTGGTCAAGCAGAGCTCGGAAAAGCTGTTTTCGTGGGAGTCCCACACCCGGAAACACTGAGCCGACATAATAGAGTTGAAATCCCCAAAATAAATGTTCCGAACTTGCAAAGGTGAAGCACAGCACATCTTAACGGAAGAGATTCTGGATTTGGGGCGGGTGTGTTTCTAGAGCCATCGTCATTCCCAGTCTTTGGCTTTCTAGATCTTTTGCACTTCATCTCCCAGAATCCTTGAGCTTTGTTCATATGAGCCAGGGCTTCTGGGAATGGATGGGGAGGACTAAAACTGAGAACCGATGTTCTAGAGAAGAGATCTTCAACCTTTGAGGTCCTACAGATTTCTGGGTTAAAAATGCAACATCTCTGATCAGGGGCTGTGCTAGCTGAGGCTTTTGGGATCTGTAGTCCAAAAATATCTAAATGTCCAAATTTGGGGAGCGTTGTTCTAAGATGAGAGTAACTTACCATGTGTTGCCTTCGTAAAAAGACGTTGTTATGTGCGGTCAAGTCACCTCTGACTTATGGCAACCCAAGGAATGAGCCATCTCCAAAATGTCCTGTCCTCAACTACCCTGCTCAGCTCTTGCAAACGCAAGCCTGTGGCTTTCTTTACGGAGTCCGTCCACGTCATCTTGGGTCTTCCTCTTTTCCTGCTGCCTTCAACCTTTACTAGCATTATTGTCTTTTCCAGAGACTCCTTGCCTTCTCAGGACGTGCCCAAAGTACGACAACCTCTGTTTCAACAGACTCTTGCAGAGTTCAGGCGGCATACGGGTCAACTAACTAACTAACTAACTAACTAACTAACTAACTAACTAACTAACTAACTAACTAACTAACTAACTAACTAACTAACTAACTAACTAACTAACTAACTAACTAACTAACTAACTAACTAACTAACTAACTAACTAACTAACTAACTAACTAACTAACTAACTAACTAACTAACTAACTAACTAACTAACTAACTAACTAACTAACTAACTAACTAACTAACTAACTAACTAACTAACTAACTAACTAACTAACTAACTAACTAACTAACTAACTAACTAACTAACTAACTAACTAACTAACTAACTAACTAACTAACTAACTAACTAACTAACTAACTAACTAACTAACTAACTAACTAACTAACTAACTAACTAACTAACTAACTAACTAACTAACTAACTAACTAACTAACTAACTAACTAACTAACTAACTAACTAACTAACTAACTAACTAACTAACTAACTAACTAACTAACTAACTAACTAACTAACTAACTAACTAACTAACTAACTAACTAACTAACTAACTAACTAACTAACTAACTAACTAACTAACTAACTAACTAACTAACTAACTAACTAACTAACTAACTAACTAACTAACTAACTAACTAACTAACTAACTAACTAACTAACTAACTAACTAACTAACTAACTAACTAAACAAACAAACAAACAAACAAACAAACAAACATTGTTGCCTCCATTTATTTATTTTTTAAGGTGTGTGCTAGTTCTCGAGAAGCAGAAGGCAGCATTCTGGTCATACCAGCCATGCAAAGAGAAGGGCGGAGGCATTTTTCCATCAATAAATCCGTCAAAGTGACTGGCTTGAGACTGGAGTCATCGGTTGCTCAATCAGGGTGGACAAGTAAACACGAAGGCATCAAACTCTGCCTCGTCCTGGTTCTCCTTTTTCCATCTCTGGTCATTCAGACTCCGGACGAGGTTCAATTCTGAGCTTTTTATTCTACACAGATCTCCACCTGTGGCCACATTTGTGTCTCTCTATGAGCGCTCGACGCCATCCAATTGTGTAAACATTCCTTGGTTGACTTAAACATACTGTAGCATCCCCGTATCTGCTGGGGATTGGTTCCAAGCCCCTGCAGATACTGAAAACTGTGGATAATAGTGAACACTATCTATAGCATGGTAAAAAGAAAAATCCAGTGAAAAAATGGTTTTCACACACATTACTAGATATATTCTAGAACTGATAGATTCTCAGTATTCATATCATGGTCTCTGGCGCCTTCTAGTGTCTGGTTTGGTTAATACCTGTGAAAGCAGCTTTTCTGGATTTTTTTTCATATCTTTAATATGGATAAGTGAATCAGTGGATACTGACCCCACGGATAAGGGGGTCCTATTGTATTTGCATCCATTCTTCAGAAAGCGACATTCATTATCTGTTCATTTTTCCAACAGAATCCATATTTTTGGAACACTTAAACTCGAGCCAGCAGGCTGCACCTCAAGTTGCAAGTGGATACATGGATTTCGGTGCTCAACTGCATCTTTCAACAGATCCAGAACCACCTTTGATGTAGAGTCTGCTTCGTTCTTCCTATCTGGCTATAAATTACGGAACCTATAGATTTTCAAATTCAAAAACCATTCGGTGTCGGCAGTCAGCTTCCAGACCCTTGTGAAACAGTCGAATTGGAAGAATATTTTTTTTCAAAGGCCCCTGTTGTTTCACCTAGAGGTATGAACAGCCGATCCTCTTTATTTCAATCCATGTCATGCAAAGCTTCAGTTTCTGCAGATTAGCCCGGCAGCCTTCCCCTCGATCTTTTGGCAACTGTGTCTGCAGTTTCTTCTTATTTTTATTGCTTGGGGAGAGATGTTTTCTCCCCGGTGGGTCACACTCAGAGTGATATTTCCTGATGCACTGAAACGGATTGTTGCACCTGAGTCCCGCATGAATGAACCTGTGAGAGGTTACACATTGTCAGTGTTGCGTCGGCACCAGTTAGCACGGAACAGGTGGATTACGGCTGACTGCGCTTTTTTTGTGCTCCACTGCCTGGCCTCTGGCAAGCCTACAGATGGCCCCGCACGACAACAGCCCAGGAGAAATGCATTCTGCACTTGCTCAGAGGCTCCCTTTTGCACAGAGAAACAGAACAAACTTTTTAAAAAAAACATTTTTATTGTGCTTCCACTATCAAGAATATAATGGAAGTGTACAAGCAGGGGGAAAGTAAACACCCCAAAAGAAAAATTAGAAACAAGTTATTCAAAAGCTTAAAAGGGAGAATGGCGCCAGGAATAGGAGAGCCAAAGTCCCAATGTTGAAAAATGAAATGAGGTGTAAACTTGAGTGAAAGAGGACCAAATAGCCACCTGGGAATCCCATGTCCGTTTGAGGGCCTTATAATCTCTTTTGATACCTAAACATTTTTGTGGGGTGGCTCACACGTGTCCCTGAACATGGAGTGGGTGGGACATTGGGTTTAATTTAATTTAATTTATTATATTTTTCACACTTTATTTCATATGTCTTTTTCAAAGAAGCATGCAACAGGCAGATATTCAACAGGTGAATCTTTGGTGTGTATGATCAGCCTAGATATCCCAGGTACTTCCAGATGTACCAAAAGACATAGTGCTGTTATTTTTTTCCCCTTTCCTTTTTATTTCTCTTCAATAATATTCATGTGTCCAGTAAAATCCTGGCTTATGGTAGAGGATACTCCGAAGTGGTTTCTCATTCCCTTCCTCTAGGGGGAGCCCTCAGACTGTGCAGCTGGCCCAAGGCTACCCAGGCTGGCTCTTCTCCCAGGAGACACAGCGGGGAATCGAACCCCCGCCTTCTGGATCCGCAGCCAGAGACCTAAACCGCTGGGCCATATGGTGGAGAAAAAAAATCAGAAGATGCTCTGGATGATTTTAAATGGAAGGTAATAGAACTTGGTTGGATGGAACCTCCCCCAAATAAATTTGCCACGTATGATCAAGGCTTATTGGAAGCACTGTGGCTTAATTAACGAAATAACTGGCTTCCCTTTGTCTCGAAATGTATTGGGAACGTGCAAAGAGGTGACACCCACTTCTAGTGGTAGAAGCCAAAACCAGTTTGACTGGAGTGGAATCCAGTTGGTCCTGTTCTAAGAATGCGCCACTAGGCGTCTAGGCAGAGGGAGAAAAGAGGCCTGGTGCATGAAACTTGCTAGATCGCTCTGATCAGGATTTTATGGGACTGTGTTTTTCTGAAAATACTTTTATGGCCTTTGCGCTTCCATTCCAGCCCATTTCAGGGTTCAAGGAGGCAACAGCAGAGGCCTTTCTGCTCCATGGGGTCAGCAACTAGCAGCCCTCTGGGGGTTGACGGACCACAACTCCAAACACCCCTAGTCAGCATGCAGAGGTTGTTTCCCTGTGTTGGAAAAAGAAGGAGTGAAATGACAATAACCGACAGAAAACGATGCATCCGTTTCCTAAGGCACTTTAATTAAAATTAAGTCTACTCAGTTATATTATACGACCGACCCTCTCCTGCAGGGGTGGTAAGCCCCTTTTACGTGGTTACCTGTTCAACGAGCACCATGGCCTCTAGAAAGGGATTATGGGAGCTGTAGTAAAAAAAAGGGGGGGGGAAAGTGGATCAAAGGTTCCCAGGCTCTCCTCCGGCAGGTTATATAATTGAGTGGCTGTTTTGTGACTGTTTGTGGCTGGTGGCTACTACCACTTTAAAGCAACGCCCTGGTAGGCTGGGTGCTGGCTCGGTAAACAATTCGGAAGTTCAACCATAAAATAGGCAAAGGTTTCTGCTCCTGCCAGTTTTAAGAGGAAGAGAACTTCTTCAGAAAGTTGGACTTTATGCCTTGTTCTATTTTTGC